CCCTGCGGCTCACGGCTTGTGCTCCCACTCACCAGGCCTCACAGAACTTCTTGGACAGGCTGGGTCGGTCTGTGTTCCTCCGGTGCCGGAACCACCTCTCTGTCTTCCTCACTGGCTGGTTGCACTGTTTGGCCAAACTGATCAGCTCATCCTGGAAAACAGGTGGGGCAGCAGGTCAGATCCAGGTCTGAAGGTCAGAAAGGGTTTACTGACTACAGAGCCCAGATGGAGGCTCCTGGCAAGCCCAAATCTGTTTGGGCTAAGGCATCTTTCAGAAAGCAGATAGCAGACCTCAGATAGCAGAAAATCTTTCTATTCCCCCCATAAGCTGACAGGCTGAGGAAGTTGGGGTTGTTCAGCCTAGAGAAGAGGAGGCTCCATGGTGACCTTATAGGAACTTTCCAATATCTGAAGGGGCCTACAAGAAAGCTGGGGTAGGGCTTTTTAATACACAGATGTGTAGCGAGAGCACAAGTGGCAATGGTTTGAAGCTTAAAGAGGGGAGAGTCAGGAGAATCAGGAGATTCAGGGAGAGGGGAAAGAACTTGGAAAAAGTTCTTTCCTGTGAGGGTGGTGAGATGCTGGAACACGTTGCCCAAGGAAGCTGTGGCTGCCCCATCCCTGGAGGTGTTGAAGGGCAGGTTGGATGGGGCTTGGAGCAACCTGGGCTGGTGGGAGGTGTCCCTGCCCAGGCAGGGGGTTGGAACTTGATAATCTTTAAGGTCCCTTCCAACCCAAGCTATTCTATGGTTCTATGATTCTATTACTTTAATGTGAACTTGTCCAGTTTCAACTTTCAAATTCTGGTGTCATATCCCTTAAATCTGTCACTAGAAGAAAGATTTACTGCAGTTTAAGTAGTTTGTAAAGTTCTGCACTAAATTTCCTCACACCTTTCAGCATTCCAAGGCCGTATCAGCCAGTAACCTGTGTCAGGCACACAAGCAACACCATTTTCCTACTGGATATTTTCCTGTCTTAGGAAACCTATTAGGGATAATTTTTCTATAGTTTTTTCTATAGATTACCCACAAAAAACCTGCTATTACCTTCCTTCTTGTCCATAGGCTCTGAAGAGCTTGTCATGTTTTATATTCCTTCTGGAAGTGTCACCACGGATATTTTTTAAGTAAAGCAACAGTTTTTCATGGAATGCATTTACCTTAATGGTGTCATGTGAGAGTGACCTACACAGTCCAAGAATGTTGTACAAAAGTATGTCCATTACCAAGATTCATATGTGTCTCTTTCCACTCTTACTTAGTGACTTCTGTTCTTGTGGTGGAGACAAATGAAGACATTAATTTGTATTTCCCAGCTGCTCCATCATGTGGAAGTCTTCCCAAGAAGAAGGCTGCTGAGAACAGCCAAAATATCACCTTGTATTGGACAAGTAAAAGCTTGGTGTTTGAGAGCTCATGGTGGAGGGAGGAAGCTAGAAGACTGGCTGAGGTGTAGCTGGTGATGCAGGGGCAGGCAGCAGCCCACTGCACTGCTCTTGCTCCACTGCTGTCAGGAGGCTAGTAGTGAGGATACACTCCTGGATCAGGTTCTCTGGGATAAAAGTGCCAGCTTTGGTGCCATGTGGCTGCAGGCAAAGCTGTGGGGAAAACCTGCTTGCAAAGCTAGGGCTTGAGTTAGATCTCTGTGACAGGAGCGGTTTTACTGAAAAATGTGCATATTCCACAGATGGACAGACAAGAGGAAGGGCAGGGACCTTCTCTGGCAGGTGTTCCCAAGAACACTGCTTCCCACTGCCAGAGAGAAAGGCTGGCTGTGCAACCCAGATGAACGCCTTCATTTTTCTTTTAGCCTCTATTCTTTTACTTTTAACCTCGTACTAAACGTCCTGGAGCTCCACATGCCTCACTGCACCACAAACCATGCTGCTCCAGCCCTGTCAAGGCAGCAAGGTGCCTGTGCCAGGAACATCCCCTGGGAGTGGAACACCAGCCCCCTGCTCATTCATCCTTGGCAAGGGTTCATAGCTGTTGCTTCAAGGCCCAGGAAGCCTGCAAAAAAGGAGCTGAAAGAAAATCTAAATCCTTCCCCTACCACAGGGGTCACATCCAGGGACTTCACTGACAAATTTAAACCTGCCAGACAATTCAAAATCCTGCCAGTGCTTTTTCCCTCAGCAGCAGTCATGATAACTCTGGATTATTTTACCCAGTTCTTCAAGGTCACTCTTTTAATCTTTCATTGGAAATCTACCCACCATTTGTGTCTGCAGTTTTCTAGTGCTCCTTACAGTCTCTGTGATGACTCAAACTCACGGATTTCTCATGAGAAACTCATGGGAAAAAGTTACCCACCCCAGAACTAGGAGCATCAAGCAATCCAGACCTGCTGAGCTGCATGGACTAGTACCATGGGAGTTAAGGCAGCTGATGTGACAGGGATTTGCTGATATATGAAAAGAAGCCATCACAGAATCCCTGAATGTCTGGGATTGGAAAGGATCTCTGAAGGTCATCTGGTCCAACCCCTTGCTCAAACAGAGCTTGTTGTCGAAGATCATGTCCAGATGGCTTTTGAGTATCCCCAAGGGTACAGACTCCACAACTTCTCTCGGCTACCTGTTCCAGTGCTTGGTCACCCTCACAGTAATAAAGTGTTTCCTGATGTTCAGACAGTTCAGATGTTTCCTGTGTTTCAGTTTGTGCCATGCATAAGGTAAATACAAGAGGCAACAGTTATCATAATTTCCTAACACTTTCTTGCCCATAGAAGTTTGGGATTTAAATGTTTGGAATGCTGCCTGTAGAAAGCTGCTCCTCCTATATGTTCAGAAGCAGAACTGATAGCTGTTGATAGGTAATTTCAGAATGACCACTGCAGCTGGCTGGTGTCTGGTGGCCAGTGCTTCCTGCTGCTTTCTTGAGCTTTCTGATATAAGCACCATTCCTGAAATTCAGCATTCCAAATGTGATTTTATTTGACTAAACACACAAGGGCTAAATCTAGAGGAAAGCAAAGGAAGAAAGGACCCACCTGCTCAGGGTTCTTGCAACATGTACTGTAGAATGTTTCCAGTATGGGGTTGGGCTGAGCTTTTGGTTTCTGCTTGTCTCTCACACCCAGTTTGGTACAGAGGGGCAGGGCTATGGCTCTGGAAAGCAAAAGATAAAGGATCAGCCAAAATATAAAACAGTCATTTCTGGTACGGCAGCACTTTTAAAACATGATGTAGTGCATTAGAGCTGCCTCCCACATTTTGAATCTAAGCACAAATATGTCAAGTAGATAAGATAAAGCAGGTAAATAAACTAAGAAGAAAAAAACCCAAACTTACAGCAGAAACAGCAGGATTTGTATTCTGCTGTGCTGGGTCCTGTGCTGTAATATCCCAAATGATATGAGGTTGGAAATGCTACATCCTGCATTGTCAAGTTCTGACTCCACTGCGCTTGTCTCTAAGACTATGGCATGAAGCCCAGCCTTTCAGGGACAGTTATGATACCACTGGTCCTTGGCTTGCCTGCAGTTTATGCCAAGTACCACAATGACAATAAGACCTAAATGTTGTTCAGTGCTTGATCTAAAACATGGAATATCCATGGCATCTACATGAACTAGGAATCTGGCTTGAGTCAAGAGGGAGGCTGTACCAGATGGGTGGTATTAACACAGAAGAAATGCCCTGCTGAAACAGAAACCCACTTTGTCTTTACTGGAGTAGCTCCCATTCTTCCTAATGCAAGTCAAACATTGATCGTAAAATAAGGACATAGCAACTAGAAAACAAGTCACAAGGAATGGATGCTCATCCCAGCTGTGCATCTTCAGTCTCTCACAGTGAGACAATGCAAAGAAAAGAACCTGCATAAGCAGGGAAAAGTTACCAAGAGGTAACGAAACTGGGCATATAATTGCTGTGCTCAGCAATTCAACTCCTCTGCTAGAAACACTCTTTTCTTCCTCAACAACAGGAGACAGACTCATCAATGGTGTGAAGTGAGGTCCTGCCCAAACAGGAAACTTGGCAATCAAGGTTTAAAAAATCAGGCCCATATTAATTGCATTCTTCTTGAATTTCTGGAAGATTAGTTACTCCTTATTAGTCTCATTAGAAAGAAGAGCAGAATAACTGCCTAGAAGCATTTTCAGCACTCCTGCAGAACACTGAACAGGCACAACTTTTCAGGAAAACCTTATCTTTGCATTTTGGAGGACAGGTTTTTTGCTTAAGATGCTAAAAGCTTCCATGAACAGTGCAAATCAGTGTTGGGGGTGGTTACAAGATGATGAATACCATGCTCCTGCTCTGCCTGGTCAGTCCTCATTCTGTTCAGGCAGCAACTCTGAGAAGTCATCCCTAATGATTCAGACATGGAACAAGTTTTCTCTTTTTTTTTTTTTTACTTTGAACATTAAAAAGCTGGGAAGCTACTTCACTATATGGTTTTCAGATGTTTTACTTGAAAATAATGTAGAATGTAGAGCCCTGCACCTGGGAAGGAACAACAAAATGCACCAGTACAGGCCAGGAGATGACCTGCTAGAGAGCAGCCCTGTGGAGAAGGACCTTGGAGTCCTGGTAGACAACAAGTTCTCTATGGGACAGAATTGTGCCTTTGTGGCCAAGAAGGCCAATGGTATCTTGGGGTGCATCAGGAGGAGTGTGTCCAGCAGGCAGAGGGAGGTTCTCATCCCCCTCTACTTGGCCTTTGTGAGACCTCACTTGGAGTGTTGTGTCCAGTTCTGGGCTCCCCAGTTCCAGAGGGACAGGGATTGACTGGAGAGAATCCAAGGGACGCCACGAGGATGATGAAGGGACTGGAACACCTGCCTGAGGAGGAAAGGCTGAGAGACCTGAGGCTGTTCAGTCGGGAGAGAAGACTGAGGAGGATCTAGTGAATGTCTCTAAATACATGAGGGCTGGGGGTCAAGAAGGCAGGGACAACCTCTTTTCATTTGTGCCCTGTGACAGGATGAGGGGCAATGGATTCAAACTGGAGCACAGGAAATTCGAACTCAACATGAGGAGGAACTTCACTGTGAGGGTGACAGAGCCCTGGGACAGGCTGCCCAGAGATTGTGGAGTCTCCTTCTCTGGAGACTTTCAAGAGCTGTCTGGATGCCTTTCTGAGTGACCTGCCCTAGTTTTGGTCCTGCTCTGGCAGGGGGTTTGGACTTGATGATCTGCAGAGGTCCCTTCCAACCTCTATCATTCTATGATTCTTTGAAACACAGGATCGTTTCCCATTTTGCTCACTCATGTACCAGCAGATTTCCACCTTTCTTTTGCACGGACCGTCCACTGGCCTGGATATCTGTTATTCTCTGTGAAATTCCTTTGACTGTTTCTGCAGCCACTGATTCCAAAGATGTCCCAAGACCAGTAAAAAAGATATGTTTCTACCCTGAGAGAAGGGCCAGGGCTGAGTATGCTTGCTAGCTGCTTTCCAACCACACACACAGTTATCACAAAATCCATGTGTTGATTAGTTTCAGTGAGGTGCAGCAGCACCTGGCATTGCTGCACCCACAGACTGCAGAGTGACAGAGAAACAGAGCCAGCCCTGGGAATGCTGGGGCTTAGCTCTGCTTGATCTTAAATATTTCAATTCAATCTTATGATTTGCTTCATATCAGAGGGGTTACCAGTGATAATAGAACAGCAGGTCTTGTGCTGTACAATGACAGAGTATTTCAATGGTATCTGTGTCCTGTTTTGATCCAGACATACCCTGTAACACTGAAATTGAGAAAACATTTACCTTAAACTCTGCACTGGGTCTTGGTTTTAAAAATAAGTTCCTTGAAGTGAGCCTGATCTTTTTTTGTTAAAGGTAAGTAATTTGATAGAAGCTCCTCTGCCGAGGAAGATGTTCTGTTGTTGAATCCAGTTCTGTGGTTGAAGAAGAATCTTATTGCAGCTTGTCAGTCCACACAGAGAACTGAAAGGTCTAAAGTTTTCCAGACACATTAAAAGGAAAGCAAATCACAGAATATTTTCTACCATGTTTCTACCAATATGTTTCTACAGGTTTCAGAGCAGCTTGTCAGAGGGTTTGTCTTGAAAAATTGCTTAAAGTATCCTGATTGATTTCTTAGTTTTGTCTGATCCCTGTTTCCTCTTTCCTGCTGGTTTGTTCTGGTCATGGCATAAGATGATCTTACTATAATAAAAACAAACCAGTTGCAGATGATGAAGACAGGGCATAATTAACCAAGGTTACAATTACTTTGTTGCTGAGGTTTTGAGATTAAACATGAATTATGGAACCAATCCTACTTTTTACAATCACTGGGAAATTAAGGCCTGAAATTCTCCCAAGGGACATTTGTACATGTTGGATCTATGCTCTGACTCAGTTATATCTTGTTCCAAGCACAACCCTAAGGTGCTGTTGCTTGTGCTGATTTCAACATCACAGATTCATCATCTCAGCTGCAGAGATGCTCTCCTCATGGCAGTTTATCAGCTGTCTGGAAGACAGAAGGAGAAAGTCTGAGGACTAACCTGTACCACTCTCCACAGGTAGGTAAGGCAAGGTACAGTCAGTGAGATGACTGCCTGCTCCATCAGCGAGCTTACCTTATGAGGTTCAACATGGCCAGGTGCAGGGTCCTGCAACTGGGCCAAGGCAACAAGAGATATGAACACAGGTTGGGGAAGGACACACTTGAGAACTTCAATGTGGAAAAAGACCTGGGGGTACTAGTGGAGCAAAAGCTGCAAATGAGCCACCAATGTGCAACTGCAGCCTAGAAGGCCAAGCCCATCCTGGGCATCAAAAGGAGTGTGGCCCACAGATGGAGAGAGGTGATTCTGCCCCTAGTCTCTGCCCTGGTGAGACTTCACCTGGAGTGCTGTGTCCAGCTCTGGAGCCCCCAACACAGGAAAGATGTGGACCTGTTGGAGCTTGCCCAGAGAAGGGCCACGAAAATGATCCAGGGGCTGGAGCAGCTCTGATGAGGACAGGCTGAGGGAGTTGGGTTTGTTCAGCCTGGAGAAGAGAAGCCTGAGGAAGAGGGACCTTCCAGTGCCTGAAAGGGCTCCAGGAAAGCTGGGGAAGGGCTTTTACCTGGGCTTGTAGTGAGAGGACAAGGGGGGATCATTTTAAACTGAAAGAGGAGAGATTTAGGTGAGAGATCAGGAGGAAATTCTTTAGTGTGAGGGTGATGAGACACTTGAACAGGATGCCCAGGGAAGCTGTGGCTGCTCCATCCCTGGAAGTGTTGAAGGGCAGGTTGGATGGGGCTCTGAGCAGCTTCATCTAGTGGGTGGTGTCCCTGCCCATGCAGGGGGTGTGGATCTAGATGATTTTTAAGGTTCCTTCCAACTCAAACCATTCTCTGATTCTACCTCACTTCACAGTTTACATGGGAATGTTCACTCTAAGGCATTTTATTCAATAATCACCAAAGAACAAACTGCCCTGTGTGAAACCCACTGAAGCTGAAATTAATTGTTTAAGCACAAATTGATACTCCCTCATCTTTCAAGAGTGGGTCACACTCCTTCTGCAGGGGCTTTCAGAGTTAGTGTGAGACACAAGAAATTATTTCACTTCAGGGGGGCTTGGGGTGTTTTTTTCAATCACAAATATTTTTTAATTTAGAAGGGTGCCACTCCACAGATACCTTCTAGTACTAAGAAATGCAGAATCAGTGACAGCAGCAACCAGAACTTCTAAACTGCACAATCTCAGTCTCACGCTTCCTTTCACAGAATCACCAAGGCTGGAAAAGACCTTCAAGCCCAGACTATGATCTTTGGCAGAAAGCTACACCCCTGTGCTACTGGAATAGTCCCTACCTTCTTTTACTTACAGGGAAACACTTCACATCTCTTAAACTGACTGTTGGTTTGACACAAGATCTCAAGTCACTACAGTGCTATTGTCCAAAGTGGGTCATCAGTTCAGTTTTCAATTAAATACTACAACGTGTCTCATGTCTTCACACAAAAACCCTGCCTATAGGACCTGTGAGATGTGGTGGTCTAAGCAACCACAAAGTTCTTGATTCATAGTTAAGTAAGGAGAGGGTTCAGCAAAACCTCTACCATGGACTTCTAGAGGGAAAACTTTGTCCTGCTCAAGACATTAATTGACAGAGTCCCTGTGAGGCAGTTCTGAAGGACAAAGGGGTCCAGGAAGT